GTTCTATTGGTCTAAACAATCTCGATATACTTACAGTGCGGTTATTGGCAAAGAACTTCCATTGTTGATTGGTTCCATTGATGTTAATATTTCAGAATAGTCAGCAGATAATCTTTAACGTAGGTTTCTCATTGGTTAGCTTGCTTTGCCAATGATTGGGTTATTTGCTACTGCAGTCTTTAATCTAGGTTTATTTTCCCCAAAATGTGGTTTAGACACGTTTCATTCAGACACACATTTACCTATTTATACGGAGTTTAATTTGCTTACTTCAGGTTGATAAAAGCTATTTTAAAGCCGGCTTGAAACCTATTAGTACGAAAGAAGGGAAATGAGGATCCTTCTTGAAAATAGCACGACCCCTTCCAAAACTATGCGTGATAAACCAATGAAATTAAGTTAAACTAAATAATACCGAAATATAAATCTATTAATGAACAGTTTAGCAGAATGAGCATTTCCTAATAAGCTAGAAATAATTGCGTCAACTTGTTTGCTAGATTGCTGGAAAGTGTGACTTAAAGCGGAGAAGTACCCGATTTAACTTGAAATAGCGCTTATGCTTTTATGAAAGCGTGGCTAAACAAAATACCTATCAATCGGATTTATCCTACATAGTCATAGCTGGTTGTAGCCATCACAGCATCTTCTTTTCATGTAAAATCGAGTCTGGCGATGTCGCAAACGTGAGCACACATTGTTTAAATTAAGACCATCTATAGATTCAATTGCGACGTTCATTCACCCCCTTATTAATGATAATTTTACCTGACCTTTCTTTGGCTTAGCTTCTTAAATGACTAGAACTGAAAGTAAAGAGCAGAAAACAGATGTAAATGGAAGAAAATTTGTAATTATCTTTTAATAACTTTTTAAGGAGTTAGTTACCTGATGACGCAACAAAACAAGAAGAGGGGTTAGATGCAAATTTCACCTTTACATGAAAGTTTAAAATGTCCCATGTTAATAGACACCAAATTGGCGGCTACATATTTTCAATTGAGTAGCTCCCAACCAATTGAAAAGTCTAGGAGTTAGCAGGTAAGGCGCAGTCATTACATGATTTAAATCCCTAAAAAATTCTTGCATACCATTCCACAATTTCAAGGTTTGAGAAAAAACAGATAGTAACTGAATTATGTTCCTTACAGCAGAATAAACTACCTACTTATAGTCCACCTTCTCTCCATTTTCCTAATACGCACGATTTATATGTATGATATGGTGCTTTGGCCAGCATTTATACAAAGGAACTCCAGATATATTAGATCAGAGTATCACACCTCCTAAATAAACAAAGTTAATGCCTAACCGTGCAGCGGAAAAAGGTCGAAGCTCAATAGGTTACAAGTCTGGAACAAGCTGAAAATTCTTTCTAAATGAAACAGTTGGTAGGTGTCTGTAAATGTTTTGATGAATACTGCAAAACACATTATACCACACCTACGAATTGCATTATTATGAGAAGTATTGGAATGCAGACCTACACAGTCGATGCAGTACTTACCGCGCAAGCCTCTACGCGATGGTCCAATGTGGCTTAATAGATTCCCATATCTCAAGCTGGAAAGATCTGAATTTGGATCCGCCACAACCAGATTTTCAAAGGAAATCCTTGCAATGAATCTTCCTCCCCGACCTGTAACTCATATGAACAAGTGGCGATTATTTTTACCACTTTGACCCATTAATAAAGTGCAATACAAACAGCTTTACTGCTTGTCTGCTACAATAAACGTTTTTATGAACAAAAAACGGCTTTTCTTTAGCACTTAATGCCGGAAGCAATACTCCAAAAGCGCTCCGAAATTCGGACAAACAATCACTTCACTTTTAATTGTCGACCAGATGTTACACTAAACAGGGAAAATCAATAGTCCATTCAGCATTATTCAATCCTATCTTTAAGCATAGAATTCGGCCTGCTTAAAATCTTACAAATAACTCAAATTTACACCGAAAAAGCATTAATTTATCAATACTTTTTATTTTACTAACCAAAGGAGAAATCGCCTCTCTTCTGAAACACAAAGTGAGAAAACAGGGAGAGAGAGAGGCAGAAAACAAACAAAGTGAAGGCCGGGAGCAGCGTAGTTGTCAAACAAATAGATGACAACTTTCGAGCCGATGGGAAGAGAGGAGATTGATGGACTAGATTAGTCTCTTACGCTGATGCGATAAATGAGGATCAACAAAACTATTATCGTAATTGCACAGGAACATATCAAAACCTCCGCTGGTGGAAGGTGGTTGGAGGATTGGTGCGGAACCATTGTGACGCAACGGAACATACTGCGGGGACTGCTGGGATAGGTGACGATGCTGCTGAGGTTGGGATATGTAGAAATTGTCTATCGTGGACAACCCGATGCCTCCTCCGCGATGTGTTGTCGTTGTCGATTGGAGGTACTGCTCTAGTTGGGTGCTGTTGATGTTCCCACTACCACGAAGTGTTGTGGTTGAGGAAAAGGTGGAATTGGGAGGGGTAGGGGGGTTTTGTTGACGCATAGCTAGAAGTTGGCCTCTCATCTGGCTCATAGCAGCCTCCACACTAGCGCCTAAACGCAAGAAAGGTAAAATGGTTAGAATTAAGCGACAAGACCCAGTCTTAGCTAAATCAAATTTTAGGTATATAGTGGGATTAAGTTAATGAGACAGCTGACCCAAGAGGTGAATTAATACTCGGACATGGGTGTAATGTGGCCAATTCTTGGAGAATCAAAACTTAGAGTGAAAAATCTTTATTGATAACACAATGAATTCTAAGGAATTATAATAGGTGCTTAGATGTCATCAGGAGAATGCCGAGAGAAGACAGAGATAGCACCGCAGCAATTTTAACCCTTACTAATAGGAGAAATTCAATTTCAATAAACGAAGGTACACGAGAATGACAACATAAAAATATAACTGCTGATTCGATTACTTGCTAGGTAAACTAAACATTTAAAGCCTTTTTATTAACAGAATGTATGTGACGAAGAAATAAACCTGATAAAAAAAATTAAGAGAAAAACTAATAATATTTAACTTTGGTTGTATGGATGTTCTTTGAAGAAGCTCCTACAATGAACTCATATTCAAACATTCTCCCACTGACCACTGCCATCGACAAATAGGCAACGATGGCCCTTGATTCAATAAACCCACAGGTTGACCATTGATTGTAGATATCCTTTCCCGAATTTATGAAACACATGAAAGAGAAATAGACCAGCACGTAGAATCGTTAGTAGTGCTTTAAATTATCTTCCTACAATTACTGTTCCGACATCACAGCAGGTAAATAAAGTGTTAATTCAACTAAACCTAGTGGAAAAGAAATTATTTTGAAGGAAATAAATTCTCGATTTCTCAGATTTGTAGTCAAAATTTGTCACTTTATTGAGTAATAATCACTTTACTTTTTCACAAAACTTTGATTAAAAATCTGGGAAGATCGGTGCAACAAATTTGGTGAAATGAAAAAAATAAGTGAAATTCAATAACTCAGAAAACCAAACCTGTTTAATTACATGTTTTTACAGGGTAAGATTGAAGACTTACGTTTCATCAATGAAACAACTGTTAAGCAATTAATTGAGTTCGATTTCGTCTTAAAAACCCCGGAAGCATATTAGCGTTCAAAAAAGGATTGTTTCCCTAAAAGCTCCTAAGAATTTTTTCCTGAGGCTGCTGTAAGAAATGAGCTTTTAAAGGCTCGTGACAACAATTCTTTCCTTAGTTAAAGGGAAGGCATCCTGTAATTTCAATAAAAGCTCCGTACGACTAGAACAATATTTGAAGCAGTTTACTGCTTACAAAGCCGATGCGATGAGGACTCACAAGAGTTGTTTACAAGACATTGGCTATTAGCGAGGTCGGTGAATAAGTTTTAGAAAACTATTTTCTTCAATGGTCAAGAGAATTTAGATTAAAAATAAAGGGGAGGGAGTGTTATTTTAAAGCTATTAACTCAACTGAATGGGAAAAAACAAACCACGAAAAAACTTCTGATAACAACTTGAACCAACAACACCTACCAAAACACTGTTCCGAATCCTGTACATAAACATAATAAGGATTAATAATAAGAAGTTAGTAAAGACGCGAAAATAGCAGCCAGACTTACTGGGACGAAGGCTTGAAGTTGGTATACCAGAACGATAGCTCTGATGAAGATGGAAGAAAGGATTTTGTTGATGGGATTGCTGTTGCTGTTGTTGCTGCAGATGCCGGTTTTGAGCTGCCAGTACCGCCTGTTCAAATTCAGAACGAGTAGGATTCAAGGGTATACCCCGACGCTGCGGGATTGCAGTGGCTATTGCGGGATCGTTGGGAAGATTTCTCCCGGCCACCTGAGAACGCTGGCCATAGCCACCTTGTCCCGCTAAACGCATAAATTGGTCTCCAAGATGATAGCTATCACCCGAGGAATTGACCGTTGTCATATTATTGCCCTGGTTACGATTGAATGACGTTTCACTCCAGTTGGACATACTAGCCTGTTGAGGATTGTATGAATCAAAACCCTGGTGACGAGGTAGGCCGCGCTATAAAAGGAATGCATGAACGATTAGGGTAAGAAATTGAATTAAACTTTCTTGACTAATTCATTTCAATAATCCGACTTTCTGATTTAGTACTTCGAGCTTTTCTTCTAACTCGAGCGTAATTTTAGTTTCATTACCCACGTGATAGATGTCCCCTTAGTCCAATTCCAATCATCAGCTCACAAATTTATCTATTTCCTCTTAAACTTGCTTGACATCGAAGTTAAAAGACACTAATGAGAAGATTGGTTGGGACTTTCCATTCAATATCACTGAGTCAAAATCACATTATAGCTATAAATCCTGTATTTTAGCAAGATGACTACATTCTAAAATAATCGTATCACAAACCTAAAGTCCCTCACAAGCAAAATACATCGAAAATTACCGTATTTTCTGTAAGTCGTAGAGTCTCAAGAATACTGCGACCACGAGTAGACTGTTCAGGATGCCCATAGCCAGAAATAGGAAAGTTTTGGAAGTTTCCGGACCTTCCCTTGGCAAGTGCCGCAGCTTCAATCTGTTCCACTGTAGGGACTGACGACAGAAGAGATGATTTGGATGAAACATTAGGGACTAGAGAAAATAAGATTATTATTAAAGGCACAACAATCAGAACAGAAATCTTCAGTTTATTACCATCAAGAGGTAGAGAGGAGGCATTGCCGCGAAGAACAAGATCTCTAAACATTGAACTCAGATCGGAGGCTAAAAATTAGGGAATAATTGATTCAAAAGGAATATAAGTTACAACTTACGAGAAGGTTGGGAAGAACTTATTGGGGTTTGGAGTCGAGAATTCGTGGCAACAGGCTGATCATCATCATCTGTTACGGAGAATTTGAGCACGAAATTGGCATTATCTAACATTGCACATTTATAATATATACGATTTTTAACATACCTTGAGAAGGACCTGGGGGGTTATTTTTAGGGAGCGGTGGGTTAGCATTCGAATCATTTAGAAGTTTCAGAACAAGACTTCCTTCATTAGTTTTCTTCTTGGGAATGTTGAATAACTTCAATAGGTCAGAATCAGTAACTTCGGAGGGTTTAGAAGCTTCTTTTTCAGTATAAGGAAGCAATTCTTTATCAATTGACAAAATGGCACTGTCGATTACTGATGGGTTTATACTAGCTGTAGCAACAGTGTCACCTTTGTCAGAAATGGAGGGTTTCTCAGTCGGTTTAAATTCACCATCATCATCAATACTCATACCGAGTTCGACAGTATCATTAACCGTTTCTGGGCCCTCAGTAAACCACTCTGGTTCAGTTTCGCTGTCATTGAAAGAATCACTTGCCCTGCCTCGAATATGAGCACTTTCCTTCGATGGGCCACTCCTTCTACTAAAATTACCATTATTTGCAGTATTTGATCGACCAAAATTCCCTCTATTATCTCCGCGGGAAAATTTATATTCACTTTGACCCTTGTTCCCCCGGACAAATGAGTCATTTGGTGAACGCTTGGTTTGGGTGACATGACAGCCGGTATTCCAGGTACGCTTTTGAGGACCAAGAATTATTCCACAGTTATGTTGGGATTCTGTAACACGAACAAACTATGACAAAATGTAAATAACCCACTTGAAAACTTTTCTAGAACTTTGCAACCCGGTTTCAATATTTTACACAGAACTTTGGAATTTGCACAAATGGTTCCCTCTTCGATATCTTTTTTAGAGGCTTCCAGTTCCTTGTATTTCAACATTTCTTTCTGAACAAAAAATAAAATTGAATCATACCATACCTTCGTATAGATTCTCCTGTGTGCTTGTTTACCCGACACGCCATTTTTAGATGTGCCTAGAAGTCAAAATAAGGTAGAATAAAACCAAGTTACTTAATAAAACCGCCGTTTTGGCTTCAATATTGTCTTCTAAGTTGCTCATGGACATAGTTCATAAATGACTGTAGTATATTTCTAGAGGGACTCGGGCGAAGTAAGTTACAAAAATTACAATGGGTGTTTGGTATAACTTTACAGTAGAAGTATAAAAAATATCTATACAAAATATCTGGAACCTTTATTATGCCTTAACCATAAGTACAAACCCAAAATCAAGCCGTGACTCAACGCTAGGTATAATGAAACGACACAAGAGTATGTACACAGTAAAGTCGATAGATGATTAGCAATTAAACATGGACTTCACTTCTGGTTGGCCAGTAGCAACATCGATAGGTCATTTACTTCATTGGGTAGATTAAATAGAGCCATAGGAGACCATTATTTTAAAATAGTAATTAAATAACTACCCACAATTACAATATTATTGAATTCCCAAATAGTTAAATAATTTTATTCGTCATATGCACATTAATTTTCTACAAAAGAATAACGACCATATATATATATATATATATATATATATTTGTAAAGCTTTTGGAAACATTGAATTGGTAAAATGTATTTTCCTGAAAATAGATTAATCGATATCAAAATAAATTCAAACTTTCAACCATCTTAAAAAGTACTTAATTGGCAAAAACTAAACAATAAATATTTTATTAATAAACTGGATGGCCTTTTTGTCGGGCTCCCATATAGGTGCTAATATCGTATTCTAATGTACTTTGTTATTTATAATATATCGAACAACGGCTTTTGACATCATATCTAAATAAAATTTCAATACTTAATGGCCCAATTTAAAATGTATAAATTGCGAAGTTACACATTCCATTAAAAATGTAGATCTCTGTCTAAATTTGCTCCCTTTGATATTTAGTATTTTGTTAAGTGATATCTGTGGCGTAATCCTCATACAATTTAACTGCTCACCCGAACGTTCTGAAGTATGTGAGTGCGTGTGCAGATCACTGCTCAGATAATTAGCTATTAATGTTCATTCAAATCGCGCAAGATGTATATGATAACTAATCACGTTTACAGAAATCACAATTACAATAAACTTTCCACTCGCAACTCGCTTTGAGATGGTTCAAGTCCGGGAATCTTTCCAAATAGGAGAATCTGTCATAGAGATTTCTGCGCATAGTCAAGGCTTCTTAGTATAGCAATCCGCTACATACCTATACATGTTCCCAGTACAGCTGCATTAACTGCTCATTAAGTTACGTTCATTAACAAAGCACCCCATATAATCTTCAGTTAGCCGTTGATCTCAAGAATGCCACTCTTTCGGAGTTTAATGATACCGTGCCCAATTTTTATCTTGTCAAATCACACACAAAATAACGATACCGGAACGAAGAAATCGAGAAATTGGAATTTTTATAAAGTCTACTTGTTTTTATTACTAAATTGCTCCACTTTATAGCCACATGGAACTCCAACTCATTAGCTGATCGATTTCGACAACCGTGGAGTCTTCACTTCTGGTCTTACTTACCTTAGTCTAAGCGTAAATGGCCAATGGACGAGGGTTAAATTAACAAAAAAACCTTCATTTAGTTTCCTAACCCATTCATTTCTCAAGATGAATATGAAATATTTGAAGAAATTTGGTTATGTCTGTTGATGACCTCTATTCTAGATACAATTCATTGGCACTATTTCATAATCAACTGCCTTTTATATATACTCCACGCCTTAGTCGAATTTAATAGCTGCCTAATATTCACAAAATTCATCTTTTTTATGCCTAGCTTCATTGTTCATGCTATATGAAATGAAGTTCGTTCGTCGCATTTTAGTTCTGATCAAGTGATTAGCATTTTGCTCTTCTCAAACTCGGTTACATATAACGCTATAAAGGCACTTTTTGATATAGTTATTGATTTGATAACCGCTTTGTTATGCCTTTATCATAAAATAGAAAGTAAAGATATGTAATTGGAGGATGTCTTAGCTACCACTCTTGATATATGAAGAAAATACTGGGGCCTCTGTGGAGAACCCCCCCCCCCCCCCCCCCCCCCCCCCCCCAGTCTACTACCTCTTTCTAGATAAACTAAACCACACTAATCTCTGTATTATAATGCCCTAGTATAGAATGATTCCCCTGGACTAACCAACTATATCAATGAAATGGAGCATATGGTGTAAGTAACCTTAGTTATGGCTGGGTGTCACTGACATAGAGCCCAGGCATTTAAAATACAATTAAGTGCTTGATAAGCAATGCAGTGAATATTGGTTGTTGGTTGGGTGAAAGGTCTCTGTGCTCACGACGCACCTCCCCCACCGTCAAGTCTGCCTGAGTGTTCAGAGATTTCATTATTCAGTTATGAAAGTGTTAAGCATTCCACACCCTATAAAGCGAAAAAAATATTCTTCATATAATAGTGCACCTGCACAAGTTTGTTTAAACTTAGAACTGTGGACGCGTGCATACAATCATTATATAGATCGCGAATTTTGCGAAATAAAAGAATGTATATCAACATGGTATTGTAACTGTTTTGTCTAAAAAACAAACAACTTTATTCATCTGGCGAAATGAAAAGTTTATTTATTTTATTTATTTCAAATGGCAGGCTTTATGAT